GATGTTCTTTTCCTCCCAGCTCAACAGGATATGGATATAGTGGCAAGCTGGAAAAAAGGCACGACATCCATAGGATGGTGAGGAAACAACACAGAAGAAGCATGAAGCTTGCGACTTTGCAAAGCAAAATGGTAATACAATTTCAGACTTGTACTTATATTTTTTAAGTTTATTTATTGGGGGGCCAGCAGGTGGCATGGTGGTTGATGGCGCCAGACTCCCACATGGCCTACTGCGGTTCAAGTCCCAGACCAGGTGGCTTGTTTTCTCACTTTCCCTTTCTCTTTCTCTCCAGCTCTCATTGTCCCTTTCTGCTCAAATTAAAATAAATAAAGTTAAATAAAATAATTCTTTTAAGAAATGATGGCAACAAATGGAATTAAATAAATAACTAAATTTTTATAATAGAAAAGTTTGTTTATTGTATCCAGCAAGTGGAATGGTCGTTACGGTGCTGGATTCTCACATGGACAAACATGATTTAGGTCCTGGACCTGGCAGCTTGAAAAATCACAACAAATAAATAGATAAATAAATAATGTAAATTTAAATATATGTGTGTATGTGTGTGTGTGTGTGTGTGTATTTCCTTCATGAAAGAAAGAGATAGAGATCAATAGGCAGCCCCAATGGAGTCTTCACACCTTGATCCCTCCCCAGCCTCAGCCAGTCTGAATTATGCACATACATACATCCATTTGGCATGTACAGGAAAGCCTTGGGATACAAACGCTCAACTTTCCTATGTGGGCCCAGCATTCCAGAACACTGCTATTATATTACCACTATGCCACTGTGTGGCCCAACTTTAATTTATCTTATTTAAGCCATTGCAGTTCCAGATCTCTGTCACAGTACCTGACCTCACACTATCTAATATAGAATTTGGTACTAGAGGTGGGTTGCTGTCATAACAGAACCTAAAACACATAGGAAACTGGTACCAAGGATACAGATATTTCAGACTAGAAAGCTGACAGGCAGTGTTGCACTACAAAACATAACATTTGGTAAAACTGTCACCAGGAATATTCTGAAAGGCAGCAGACCTCATGTTGAAGATGGCTATAGCTAAGTAGTGTAGGTTTATTGTTTCTTGTCATCTTCAGGAAAACACAGGACAAAGAAAAAGTCAAGTTGGAACTAGCTAATTAGCAACCAGAGCTGGAGGAAAATTGAGCTCTGCTAACAAGAGGCACTCCGTGTGGCTTCAGGGTCTAGAGTGGAGAAAAGCACCAGTCTGGAAAATATTAATATGGAAAAGAAGCAACTAGATGTGGTTCTTCTGCATGCACACTCAACCTTTCTTCAGGTAATTCTTTTTTTTTTTTTTCTTCAGGTAATTCTAGTAACATTCTCTGTTAAACGATAGAGGCCAGCTTAGCCTTAAGGCTCAGATGAAAGTTGGCCTTCCCACTCAAACCAATTATTTCAGATGGCCATCAGTAAGTCCAACAGGTAGCACATAAAAATAAAAAAAAACAGAATTTCAGGCCTAAAAATGCTTGTCTAGATGAGATCTTTAAAAAAAAAGAATTATTTTATTTAACTTTATTTATCTATTTTAATTTGACCATAGAGGAACAGAATGAAAGAGAGAAAGGGGGTAAAGTGAGAGAGCAAGCTGCCGGTCTGGGACTCGAACCATGGTCGGCCATATGGGAATCAGCACCCTTAATCACCGTGTCACGTGCCAGTCCTAGATGGCATCTTTGACTGTGGAAATTTGCTCACAAAAATGATCAGAAATAAGGACCAACAGCGTAATGGCTATGTCACTGGACTCCCACGTAGTTGACCGCGGTTCGAGTCCCGGACCTGGTGGCTTAAAACTCACGCCAGGCATGTGTGCGTGCATGCCCAAGATCCTGAGAGGAGAATGGAGGAGAAGGAATTGCAGCATGACCATCCCCCCTGGGGGATGATTTCTCGCTTTCTGTCTGTTTGTCTCTCTCTGTCTGGCTGGCGAGTGCATGTGCCCTATAGCAAAAATCTCTCCAAAATAAAAAAAAAAAGATCAGAAATAAAAAGACTGCAAATCTATGAAGTTTATAAGAATATTGTACTGATAAATCCCAACTCTTGCCAGGAAGGAAGGAAGAAAGGAAGGAAGAAAGCAAATAAGTAAATAAATAAGTAAGTAAGTAACTTAAGACCTCTTAGTGTAACTCTTAAGCTTTTAACCTTATCTAAATAAAGTTGGCTAGAGCCAGTCTAAATGCTGTGTAAAAGACGCCAGATCCGGGAACCAGCAGTTAGCGTAATGGCTATGTCGCTGGACTCCCACATGGTCGACTGCGGTTCGCGTCCTGGACCCGGTGGCTTAAAACTCACGCCGGGCGCGTGTGCGTGCGTGCCCAAGATCCTGAGAGGAGAATGGAGGAGAAGGGATTGCGGCGTGACCATCCCCCCTGGGGGGTGATTTCTCGTTTTCTGTCTCTCTATCTCTCTCTCTCTCTCTCTGGCGAGCGCACGTGCCCTATAGCGAAAACCTCTCCCCCCCCCAAAAAAAAAAGAAGCCAGACCCACATGGTCAACAATAATTGGAGTCCCACAGGCTTGAAAAACCTGATGGGAACATGCATGCCAGGATCCTTTCAGGATACAGAATTGGAGTAAAAATGGGGGCTGACAGGTAGCATAGTGGCTAAGGGCGCTGAACTCTCACATGGTTGATTGTGGTTCGAGTCCCAGACCTGGCAGCTTGCTTTCTTGATTTCCCTCTCTCTCTCTCTCTCGCTCTGTCTCTCTCTGGTCAAATTTAAGTAAGTAGCAAGTAAATAAATAAATAAAGTTAAAATAATTCTTAAAAAAGAATTGGGAGTAAAAATGATTGTGGCATGCTCAAGCTCCACGGGTGTGTGTGTGTGTGCATACCACTCTTGCATAAAAAGAAATCATAGTAACAATAAAGTAGGCTGTGGAAGGTATGCAGCCCCCAAAGGTTATTTTTCCAGTGCCCACTTCAGACACTGCCATAGAGAGTAATGGATAAGGAAAAACCCAAAAGTCTAAGCCAGGAGAAGGGATAGAGTTGGCAGGGTTGAATAAACCAGTTCACTGTCTACTAACCACATCAAGGATCTTTTCTCATTTCCCTCTACTAGAATTTGATAACTGATTACAACCAGTGACTGCTGTAGATTCCTCTCTCTTTCTTGTCACACACAAGTTTTCTTTGTATATTGAATATGATTTTATTGAGTGGAAGCCAGTTCATAAAATTCCAAACCTTAAAACAAAGCGAAAAAGGGGCCAGCAGGTGGTGTGATGGTTGAGGTGCTGGACTCCCACAGGGCCAACGGCAGTCTAGGTCTCAGACCTGGTGGTCAAGCGATTTCTCACTTACCTTCTCTCTCTGGTCAAATTAAAAATAATAATAATAATAATAAATATAATTAAATAAAACAATTCTAATAAAAGGAGAGAAAATAGGAGCTGGCCCAGTGGCCTAGTAGTAAAGGAAGCCAGATCTCATTTGTCCAATCATAGTTCAAATCCTGACCTGGCAGCTTGAAAAACATGCTACCTGTATGAGCATGCATGCACAAAATCCCAACAGGATAGAAAAATAGAGACGAGACTGTGGTACAATCATGCCCCGTGGCTAGGTGGGTGGGGGTACTTTCTCCCTCTCCCTCTGTCTCTTTTCTGGTGAGCACATACACTCTCTGAAAATAAAAATAATAAATAAAATTCTTAGATGCGTAATTTGCAAAGTAAAATAGTTATAGTCTTACCTAACTCAAGAGATTTGACAATCTAATTGGCCAAAATATCTTCCCTAAAGAAACCCCAGTGCATTCAAGAGAGAGAACTAAGGCTCAGCCATGGTAGGGCAATCTGCTAGAATATTATGCTCTTCAAGTTGGGACCACATGGGAAGCCTGGGTTCAATTCCTGGCTCAGACACAGTGACATGCACCTGGAATTCCAGCAAATGGGGAGCCTGAGGTAGGAAGATCACAAGCTCTGGACTGGGCATTATAAGACTCTGTCTTTAAAAAAAAAAGGGAGTGGGTGGGTGTGGTGGCGTGTGCCTGTGATTCCAGCTACTCAGGAGGATCTCCACATAGACCATGTCTTTTAAAAAGGCAAGAGAGTGAAATTAGGTTTATTCTAAAGGCCTTGAAGTGAACAGCGAAAGACTGAAGTTCCAAAGTGTGACGTAAGATTCAAAGGTCAGGTACTTAGCTGACAAAGGTGATCTTCAATGTTAATAGAACGATTGGATCAAAGATGTCAAATGATTTTCATCTAGTAATTAATCTGGATTCATCTTTCACTCAGCGAGGATATATACTAACTTTAGACAATCAGCCAAATATGTAAAATTAAATTTCTTGCACATGAGAACGCAACAAAAGTTCCAAGAACTGATATTCATGTCTCCTGATTCATTAAAAACCACTCACAACATAGTCTAAGTTCAATAAAGAGTTTGAAACTCTGCAATTAAAGTAAAAATATAGCTAGATGGAAACAGATACGTACCACACTGTCAACAAAGACAAACTAATTGCACTCTTTTCAGAAGAAGCATAGACTTGGACTTCACACGGCCTCCCTCCCACTTGCGTTTTGGGGACGGCCCTGGAAATGCACCCTTGGGCTAACTGGAGGAACAGGGAGGTTGGAATTTTCCTTTCCCCACAGCCCCACCTCCACAAAGAGCTAAGTTCCCGCACGTGTACGAACGTTTACCCGCAGGGAAGAGAAAAGACTGGGGCTTCCAAGAGCAGTCCGAACTAGGAGGGTAGAGAGGCCGACCACCCAGCCTGGAACCAGCGCTGAGACTACAGGGGCTGGACCGAGGAGGGGGCGACGCCAACCCTGACAACACCCACACCTGCTTCCCTCTCTCTCCCTCACCTCCCGTTCTTCCCCACAGGCCGCGCATATCCCGAAAGCCCGACAACCTCCCTCCCACGGCATCCTATAGTGAGTGGAACAGGAAAGTCCTGCGACCTCAGTCCCCACTCCCAGGCCCCATGCCCGACCTGCGGGGCGCGCCAGGCCGCCCTGGGACTCCCGGCTCTCAGGCTTC